TGTTTTTCTCCAAATATTCTCGAAAAATCCACGACAGATCTTGATAAATCTACAATTCTGGCACTGATCATCCTTTAAAAAAAATAATTTTAAAAATTCTCGATGAAATTCAGAAGGGGTTTCAAACTGTTGTGGGAAAATAATTTTCTGAAAATCACAGATAATGTCTCTGTTGGTCCTTCGATTTTTTTTTTAATCCCGATTTAGGTTAATTCAAACTTTTCCCTAGGAAACTTCGTCATATTGGCTACCATTTTCTTCAAAAAATAATCCTAAAAATTCACAATTTTGATCTGTTAGTCTTGCAAAAGTATTCATGCCAACTGAATATCAACGAAAATGGCTCTGATGTCCTTAAGAAAATATATTCTTTAAAGTTTTCTCATAGGTATTCCATTCACTACTGTGGGTTCCAAGTCTATTTTTCCAAAAAAAAATCCTTAAAAAACCTGCACGAAAAGTTCTGAAAACTTCAAGAAATATTCTTAAAAATATACTATTTTGGCCCTTACATTTCTTCAAAATATTCCTTAGATGTCTTTTCGAAAATATTCCTAAAAAAGACATTCTTGATCGATAAACAAGTAAAAAAAACTATAAGTTAGGCCGGGCCGAACTTTGAATACCCTCCACCATATGGAACGAATTTTGCAATTTTCAAAAAAAAAAAAAAAAAAAAAAAAATCCGTGTAGCCATTATATTAGGGTCTATACGACGACGTGGACCTGCATAGACTACTTTTCTCATACGCCATTACAATATTCAAATGCGAAACATGAAACAAGAATAATTTGGTAAAATCGTGAAAATACCGAATATAGGGAGGTACCGTTATATGGGGGCTATACTAAAACGTGGACCTGCACAGACAATTTTCGGTCATAGGCTCTAGTATCCGTTAAGAACTTCAAATACCAAATTTGAAAGAATTCCGGTTAATAATGCCGCTAAAATCATCAAAATACCGAATATCGGGAGGTACCGTTATATGGGGACTATACGAAGACGTGGACCTGCACATACAATTTTCTGCCTTAGGCTGTAGTATCCATTACGAACTTCAAATACCAAATTTGAAACAATTCAGGTGAATAATATCGCTAAAATCATCAAAATACCGAATATCGGGAGGTACCCCTTGTATGGGGGCTATACGAAGGCGTGGGTTTGAATAGGTAAATTTTTGTCATGAGCTGTAGTATCCATTACGAATTTATAATACCAAATTTGAAGCAACTCCGATGAATAATGTCGCTTAGTCACCAAAATACCGAAAATAGGGAGGTACCTAGGTGGACCTACATGACCCATTTTCAATGTCAAAAGTCCTGCAGACATAATATACATTTCAACCTACTTTAGTTTGTTCAAAATCTAGAGTGATTTCCACGGACGGACGGACATCACTGCATCGACATAGAATTTTATGCTGATCAAGAATATATATACTTTGTGGGGTCTGAAATGTATATTTCGAGGTGTTACAAACGGAATGACACACTTAATATTCCCTCCATTCTATGGAGGAGGGTATAAAAATAATTTAAAAAAAAGTTATGAATCCACGATTGTGGATATCTCCATTTGGAGATATTCCTAAAAAACCTGTTTTTTATTTAAACTTTTCTAAAAAATAATCTATTATTTTGATCCAAATCCTATTAAAATCAGCGATAATGACAATTTTGTTTCACAATTCTGAGACATCAGAGTCCTCCTTATAAAAAGATCTCGTTTTATTAGATAATAAAAATTCTGGATTTTTTTTTTTTATTTAAATATAGTAATTTATATTTAACATTGTTATAATAATTTATTATTGTGGAGTAATAAAAATACGTTTAATGTTTATTCTAAGATAACTATCTTTATCTTAGATTAATTAAATAATTATATATCATTAAAAGGTTCTTAAACATTTTCTCGGTTGTCCTTCAAAAACACTCTCGATATCCTCCACTATGATGCCATAAATAGTTTCAAACCATTACACATCATTTAACACCAACTAATATAGCATACTTTTAGGCGCACACTATTTTTACTATCACACTATCATGGTGGTGTCTTTTGCCCATTTCCTTTTACAAAATTGCTTTCGCTGCTGCCTGCTACCTCTGACACTGCTAATTAATTAAAATCCATCCGAGGATACACCAGATGAACACTTGTCTTCCAGTCCACTCTTTTGCATTTCATTTGATTTGTGCCAAATCATTTGAAATAAGTAAACAATAAATAATGCCATAAAGTCCGCTACTGAATGATGACGTTTTGTTTTCGCTCTTAAGTTGATGATGGATTACCAGGATGATTGCTTAGTTTTTATGAAAATGCATTTCCGGTAATTGTGTTAAGGTTATACTCCATAACGCTGAGGACAAGTGGATTGACAGTTTGTTTGACCGTTAAAAAAGGGGGATGGGGAAATAGTTAGCCCCTTAAATTCTTTTATCTTTGGGATTAAATAGGAATATGAATGTGTCTAGTTTTCATACATTATTCATGAGCATTTCCACCATGTGTGTATGTGTGTGTAGATGTATGTATGGGTCAGCAATACCTTGGTGTCTCATTATTAAACCATTTGGGTGGAATAATTCATGAATCGATGATGATATCTATGCCATTTAAACGCTTACCCTCGGACAATGAAATGTCTAACCATCTTTTAATGGCAAGTGTATGACACTGATGATTGCCCTCTCTCCCTCACCACAAGTGATAGGATCTGAAGCGAAAGCAGAAAATGGAATTAAATAAAGTGATTTACTTTTAGTGTAGACTAACAATGGTGGCGGCAAGCAACAAGAACTGCTACTGAAATTTTCTTCTTGTAATGCCTCCTGTTAAATTGCTTCCGAGACAATGTCATGGCACTCTCTGTACAAGTGTATGGCCAATAGAACTTCATTTGGAAAATGGGTTGAGTGGTCGGCAACTTTGGTGGTTAATTTTTGTAATTAATTTCTTTAATGTCTTTACTCGCTGGCATTGTTCTAAGGCCGCCTTGCCGCTTTACGACTTCTGCGAATTGTTTGCTTCGGGGTTTTCATGTGCGTTATTCTGTATTTGTTTTTGTTCCGTCTTTTTTTTATAGAAATTCTATGGTTTGCCGCTTTTAAATTTTTTGTACGACAAAGTGCTTGTGAAGAGCGTGAAAATGTTATGCGTTGTTAGCAATGCACAAAGGGATCAAAAGGATTGGCGGTTTTTATGGTGTACTAAAGAGGCGTTATGATTTAATATTTTATTTAAATAAAGTGTTAATTTGCGGATTGTTGGATTCTTTACTTCTTTTTGTTTTTTAGAAGAATGGAAATGAGAGTACTTTGTTGATATAGTCTAATGAAGTTCATAAATATTTTAAATAAATATTAGGGTTAAAGCCGTTCTGCATGTCTATTTCTGGAAAATTCTCCGACAAAGCTTCATATTAGGTTGATGACGTCAAATACGAAAATATTCTTCATCAAATTTCACTATAACTTACCAAAGAAAAATAATCTCTATAACCATTATAAGGGTGAGATAAAAAAAACTGCAACCAAATTCAGACTGCTGTCATTTCTAAGCCACTCGTCCGACAGCTTTTAAAATTATTCCAGTGACAACTCATTATATTGTTTACAAGCGTACAAAAGCATTTTCGTGAGAATTTTCCAGAAAAACAGTTATTCGTAATGGAATTCAAGCGTGATAGTGAGATTTCTTTATATTTGGCTGGAAAACCACAAGTGGCTATCGTTCGAGCACTCCAGCATTTAAATGAGAATAAATATTTTGTGTATCGTACCATCGCTCGTTACCGTGATACTGGTAAAGCAGCCCGACACCAAGGAAGTGGACGGAAGAGAACAGCAACATCTATAGGAATGGTTCGACAAGAAGCGACTTGATCGAAACTCTTGCAGTGGCCGAAAAATGGCTTATGAGCTGAACATATCGCAATACTCCATTCGGCAAATATTGAAAAATGAGCTGGGTAAAGCCAATGAAATTCCAAAAAGTGCAAGAACTTACACCGTAACAGAAAGAAAATAGACCCAAAAAGCTAAAGAGTTGCTTCGCGTGGCCGAAAGTGGTGAACTGTCGAAATTGGTTTTCTCCGATGAGAAAACATTCGCTGCCCAGTAGTTTGTAAACAAACAAAATGATCGTGTTTACTTGCCAAAGAGGTCAGCTGAAAATGTGCACCTTCGGTTGGCCACCAGAACTCAAGCTCCGGCCATGGTGATGGTGTGGGCCGCCATAATAGCCGATGGTCGCTCTCCGCTCGTGTTAATCGACCGTGGCATCAGAAAAAATGCAGAATATTATTGGGAAAATATTCTGGAGGGTGTTTTAAAGCCTTGGGCACGCAAACAGTTTGCCGCCAACCTTGGCTATTGCAACATGACTCAGCACCATCGCACTCAGCACGCGCCACCCAAGAATGGTTACAAAATGAGGTTCCTCGCTTTATTTCCAGCACACAATGGCCACCAAAATCTCCAGATCCCAATCCGTTGGACTATTGTGTGCGGTATTTTGGAAAGCAAGGTTGGCGCTCAAAAATACCAAAGGTTCGATCACCTCAAGCAAGCGCTTCGCCGGGAATGGGCCAAAATACCGCAGTGCAACGTTGGGGCAGCGTGTGTGGTTTCTTTGGCCGTTTGAAGGTCAAAATTCGTGCTAAAGGTGACCAATTCGAACAAATCTAAACATATTCTAAAATTTGATGATATTTCTGAAATTTTTGCTTTCATTCAATTAAATTAAAAAAAACAATATATCAAAATTATGGCATTTGACTTTGTTGTACATTAAAAACATATTTTGGGGATAAAGCTTAAAGCGTGTGAGTTTATGTAAATTTCTCCAACAATACATCATTTTAGAAGGATGCCCTCAAAGGCAAAAATAATCTTCATCAAATTTCACTATAAGTCTCTGAAGAATTGAAATCTCTATGACCAATATATACCAAGAAAATATGTGTAACAATGTTGCCGAAAAACGCGAAAATATTTCTTTATTTTATTGAGGCGGAGGAAAAACCTTTTTGAGTAGTAGTACTATTTTTTTGTTTCTTGTTTCTTTCATTATTTCACCCCCTAGGAACTATGGCACCCAGGGTTTGAAGTTTTCCAAACATTTGGTGATCTTCAAAAAACATTGCCGTATAGTTGAAATCCAAAGTTGGTGTGTATTTTGGAAAATTATCCGCTCGTATTATCAAATTGGTTAGCTTGTACAAATAATTCTAAAAAATAAGGAAAAACCGGATTAATCAATATCCCATTTATTGTTCTGGTCTTACCGCCTTTAGGGGACACGCAATCGGCAAATTCGATGTCCTTTTCAATTCACTGTAGATCTGGTTGACCATCGGTATGGCTTTGAAGCTTCTTAAAGCCTCACACACATTCCATTTCATATCGAAAAATTTCATAACCTTTTTCGATTTTAGCGGACGAACATTTATCAGAACTTCAATTTCGGCATTTTTGGCCAATTCTCTGGCAAATTGAAACCACATATTGTGAGAAAATACATTTGGTGCTATTTTGGTGACATTTGCACCAAATTCTTGTAAAACATCCGAAGTGTAATTGGTCAGGGTGAAATTGTATATTTCGAGGTTGAAGGAGCGTTCGGCAGTCTGCAAGGAAAATAAATTCAACTTTTAACAATATATTAAATACTTTATCCAGACCTCAAATGCCGTTATAAAAATAAATATTATTGCCAGCTGCATCAACATTTTTAACATTGCTCAAAATCGTTTTTGTTTGGTGAAATTAAAATATTGACTAAATTTCAATATTGATTCATGACCAGAATTCACCCTCGAGTTGACAGGCAATGAATGGGGACCATTAAAAAATAATTAACCCATAACAATTTTGTAATCGATTTTTTTTTTTCAATTTTTATTTGACCATAAAATTACTATATTTTGAATTAAGTTTGAACATTAAGTCAATCAGACGAAACGTGGTACTAATTGGAACTTACACAAGTGAAATAGAGAAGGCTTAACTATAGCTAGTCAAAGCTGCAATGGGCGATCAACACATTTAACTTTTAAAATCATCTCCTCATGGCAATGACATCTAACAACTGATTCAAAGTGTGAATTCCCTACACTGTAGAAGATTCTGAAGAGACGACTACATTTTGATGAGAGGGAAACCAAATGTGGCTCTATCTACAGGGTGAGATAAAAAACTCCAACAACGTTAAACGCAATAATTTCTACATTTTTTCAAAATTTAATTGAATGAAAGCAAAAATTGTGAGAAATAGCATCAAATTTAGATTTGTCGAATTGGTCACTTTGGCACGAATTATGGCCTTCAAACGTTCAATGAAACCGTCACTCGCTGCCCGAATGTTGCTCTGCGGTATTTTGGCCCATTCTCTGCGAAGCGCTTGCTTGTGGTGATCAAGACTTTGGTATTTTTTAGTTCCAACCTTGCTTTCCAAAATACTCCAGGCATAATAGTCCAACGGAGTGGTATCCAGAGATTTTAGTGGCCATAGTGCGCTGGAAATGAAGCGAGGAACCTCATTTTTTAACCATTCTTGGGTGGCGCGTGCTGAGTGCGTTGGTGCTGAGTTCTGTTGGAATGTCCAAAGTCTGCTGCCAAAATGTTTGTGATTCCAAGGCTTTAATACACCCTCCAGAATATTTTCGTGACAATATTCGGCATTATTCTGATGCCACGGTCGATTAAAACGAGCGGGGAGCGATTATCGGCTATTATGGTGGCCGACACCATCACAATGGCCGGCGCTTGAGTTCTGGTGGCCAACTGAATGTGCACATTTTCAGCTGACCTCTTTAGCAAGTAAACACGATCATTTTATTTGTCTACAAACTGCTGGACAACGAATGTTTTCTTATCGTAAAAAACCAAATTCGGCAGTTCAACACTTTAGGCCAAGCGAAGCAACTTTTTAGCTCTTTTGGGTCTATTTTCTTTCTGTAGCAGTGTAAGTTCTTGCACTTTTTAAAATTCCAATTGTTTACCCTGAGCTAATTTTTCAATATTTGCCGAATGGAATATTGCGTTATGTTCAGCTCACGGGTCATTTTTCGATGAAGTCGCTTCTTTACTTTTCGAACCATTTCTGCTGATGTTGCTGTTTTCTTCCGTCCACTGCCTTGAGACACAAAAGATTTATTCACATTTAAATGCTGGAGTGCCACTTGTGGTGTTCCAGCCAAATATCATGAATAACTTTTTTGCTGGAAAATTCTCACCAAAATGCTTTTGTACACTTCTAAACAATATAATGAGCTTTCACTGTCGGAGGAGTGGCTTCGAAATGACATCAGTCTGAATTTGGTTGCAGTTCTTTTTTTCATCTCACCCTGTATATTAGTCATAGACATTTATTTTCTTTGGTGACTTATAGTGAAATTTGATGAATATTATCTTTGCCTTTGAGATCATCCGTCTAAAACGATACCTTGTAGGATAAATTTGCATAAATTCACATGAAGCAAAGTCATAACCCTAATAATTTTTTTAATATTTAGAAATTCTGACGTTTAGGTAAGATTAAGACTTTTGATGCACGCTGGGAACTATAGCGGAATTTTATGACAAATATTTTTGTAAAATATTTTGAGTTGCAATGATCCCGTTTTACGGGAAGTTTTAACAATAATTTGAAAAAAGGACAAAAAAACACTTTTGTGGCTCATTTCAGGGTTGAAACTGTGAACCGGAAGAGTTCTTGTATTGTTATCTGTAAATTTTCCGAAGACATTACATACGTATATTGCTAGGATTCCAAGGAATCTTAATCTGAAAATTTCCAAATGAGAGAAAGAATTAGATCTCGTATTGCTAAAATTGTAAGCCAAATATCAATAATATTGTCGAAGACACAAAATACATCCATTTGCTTAGATTCCTAATCCAAAAAATTCCAACCCGTATTGCTTCGCTTTCCTTAGATATTGTCCTATTTCGAAAATTATTCCCCAAAATCATTGCAAAATACCCACTTCCTAATGCCTGTGTTCCATTAACTCACTTCAAGAAATAATTAATTACAAAATTGCCCAAAATTAATTTCAAAACTACACACATTAAAATATCTCGAAATCCCATAATAAAAATCGAAATAAGTGATTATTTCAATATTTCGTGCTTTGTTTGGTGGCTTCCATAGATATCTTTAATGGCCAAGTAAAACATTAAAATCATGACACTTTTATGGATCAGCAAAAGACCTAGAAATTCCAAAAAGGGATCATCAAACCAAAGGGGAAGACAACACGTTTTGGGGTCGTTGATGATAAGACGCACACAAATTTGAGCACTTTTTTGGGAAATTGAATGAACACACAAACCCCATCCCTCCACCCAAAACAAATGATCGGTAATGAAAATAATCTTGTTGTTATTGGTTGGGGCGATTGAAAGATCTATGGAGATATAAACAAATTTTATGACCAAAAAACAAAAATGTTGGGGAATTTCTATGAAAATGTTTACAAGGCAAACATACAATTTGTTTATAATGAATTAACATGAATTTTTAATTAAAAAAAAATTAATGGTGATTGTTAGAAGTCACTCCGGAGAAGGGAGAAAAATGCCAAATTTTCTGTCATTTTTGGTCATGGAAAAAATTGGTTTTAATTAAATTTTAATGGTTTGTCAGCTGCAATTATTTACCAGGAATGCTGGCAAATAAATCTCTGCCCCGATTTATTAGATTTTTGGCCAATGTTATTTGTCAATGTTAAAATCCAAGTTACAAATAAATTGTCAATACAAAGTTGCAATACAAATTGCAGCAGCAGTTAGCAAGCTAAGCTTTTGTCTGTGTCTAGCAGGGCTTGGGTGGCGTATAAGCATTAATAATTGTTAGCTAATTTTACAAAAATCTATAACATGTTTTCTACATTGACCAAACGACCACTGTGTTTTGGAAATCTGTATTCAATTTTTGTTTAAATTTTTTGGAGTCATGCTAATGTGAACATCGACTATATTTGGGTTTGAATAATCAACCAGCTATACCCTACAGTACTAATACTCGCAAGGTGACGTTTATGGCTACCAAGGTGATGCTTTAAAATAAAATGTTTCATGACGGAAAATTTTCAAATACTAACCAGGACAAAAAATGTCTCTTCTGGAGAAAAAATTGTCCTCAAGCCCAAAAAATTTTGTCGATTTAAATTTCTAGCTATTTTCCAAATGTTACTAAATTCATCATCAACCGTCCCTTGGAAATCTTAAAACGTTGTGATAAATTAGAGCAATGAAGGACATCGAAGAAAAGAGAACTTAACTAGTTCTCGAACATAAAAATTAAAATCGAGGGGAAAATATACGTTTTGCCTACTTTGAACGAAATGGGTGCGAAAAGTAATAAATTGTGCTAAATTTCTTCTCAATGGAATTAATTGATCAACAACACAAATAACTTTTCAAAATTAGTACTAAAAGTGTAAAAAGTACCCAAATATTGTACCATTTCCAATGAAATAAAGTCCTAAATTTTTGTGTTTTAAATTTGAAGGAGATGTTGATATTAAAAAAATTTTCAAAATTCTTAACAAAAATTGTAAAAAACGTTCCAAAATGTACTAAATATTTAATATTGTCAATGAGGGACCCAAAATATTCAAATTCTTATTTCAAAAATATTTTTTGAAAATTCGTACTAAAAGTGTACCAAAGGTACAATAATGTACTAAACACTGTATCACCATCATTGAGCGATCCAAAAATGAGAAAGTGGTGATTCCTGAGAAAGACTGTGCCTCAAACAATGTAGAAAGGTTTTGGAAAACATGTACTAAAAAGGGGTACTAATAGCACTAAAAAGTACTATGCAGGGTGAGATGAAAAAGTTGCAATCAACTTCAGACTGCTGTCATTTCTAAGCCACTAGTCCGACCTCTGTTAAAATTATTCCAGTGACAGCTCATTATAATCTTTACAAGCGTACAAAAGCACATTGGTGAGAATTTTCCAGAAAAAAAATTATTCGAGATGGAGTTCAAGCGTTATAGTCTGATTTTTTTGGTTTTTGTCTGGAAAACCACAAGTAGCTATCGTTAGAGCACTCCAGCATTTAATGTGAGTAAATCTTTTACGTTTCGTACCATCGCTCATTACCGTGATACTGGTAGCGTAGCCCGACGTCAAGGAAGTGGACGGAAGAAAACAGCAACTTCAGCAGAAATGGTTCGAAAAGTAAAGAAGCGACTTTGTCGAAACCCGCGTCGCAGTGGACGAAAAATGGCTCGTGAGCTGAACATAGCGCAATATTCCATACAGCAAATATTGAAAATGAGCCATTGAAATTCCAAAAAGTGCAGGAACTTACACCGCAACAGAAAGAAAATAGACTCAAAAGAGCTAAAGTGTTGCTTCGCTTGGCCGAAAGTGGAGAACTGCCAAATTTGGCTTTCGCCATTCTCCGATGAGAAAACATGTGTCTGGAGTATTTTGGAAAGCAAAATTGGCACTAAAAAATACCAAAGTGTCGAACACCTCAAGCAAGCGCTTCGCCGGGAATGGGACAAAATACCATAGATCAACATTCGGGCAGCGTGTGACGGTTTCATTGGCCGTTTGAAGGCTATAATTCGTGCCAGAGGTTAGGAATTCGAAC